ACGTACGCATAAAATTTATCGCGCCTACAATTCATGATAATAAGCAGAAATAATTATTTCATTTTATTTTTAAAAAGAATAGATTATTTTTCGAGACAATGAGGTCACTTACACACAAAACTTATAAAATAAAGATCCTAGACGGAAATATCACTATTTATTAAAAACAGACTATTTTTCAGGAAGACGGTGTCACTTACACACAAAACTTATAAAATAAAGATCCTGGACGGAAATATCACTATTTATTAAAAGCAGACTATTTTTCAAGAAGACGATGTCACTTACACACAAAACTTATAAAATAAAGATCCTGGATGGAAATATCACTATTTATTAAAAGCAGACTATTTTTCAGGAAGACGATGTCACTTACACACAAAACTTATAAAATAAAGATCCTGGACGGAAATATCACTATTTATTAAAAGCAGACTATTTTCCAGGAAGAAGATGTCACTTACCCACAAATATTTGAGAGGAAGCTTCCGATAAAAATTCGGTTCGAGAGAGGAGTTCACTGTGTTTCGACCAAAGAGAGAAAGAGATCTCAAAATTTTCTAGGGTGGGAGTGCTCACCTCCCCTATTTAAATTCTTATAACGTATTATTATATTATTTTATTAGGCTCTACCTCATACCTGAGGTGTCGCGTTAAGAGTTTGTTTTTAACATATGAAAACCATGTCCATTAAAGGACGTGGCCAGCAGCAAGCAAAAGTTTAAACCAAGTAAAAACTTTTGAAAATAGTGATGGTCTCCAAGGACCATCATACTCAAACAGACCATCACCTATTTAAAAGTACCTTTTCTCTTTTTCTTTTTTTTTCTTTTTTTTTTTTGAAATTTTAGAATTGTTACACTCACATACTATAGTGGAATAATTTATGGTGAAGTCCTTGATTATGAACCTTTTTAAGTGAGGATTATTGCTTATATGTAATTCCCACCATTTCGTTGTAAATACAAAAGACAAATTAATCATATAGGAGTAATTATCATCATCATCATTATTATCAGAGTTTTTTCTCAACTATTTGGGTCAGCTACTCGAATTATGGTCTGTCATTCTGCTCTATCAAGCTTTAGTGAGGGCATAAGTTCCCATATCTTTTCTCACTACTTTCAACCATGTCCTTTTGGATATATCTCATGCATTTTTAAGATCTCACATAAATAATTATTTTAATTTACCACACTCATGGAAATTCGAGCGATAATGATTTGCTCAACTTTTTCTAGCTATATTTGGTCCCAAAATCACCTTGAGTATACATTTTGAGAACAAGCTAAAACAACAAAGAGCACACTCTCGATTTACAAACTACAACCAGTTAAAGAACAACATTGTATCACAATTAAAAGTTCTAAATAGAACCTTACCTCTTTCAAGGCTTCAATTTAGGCATCCACATCTAGCTCTAACCTTTTGATATAAATTTTCACCCCACTAAGAGGGATCATTTCGACCCAATTGACAGTGATAAGTTGGGTTAATGAAAAAAATGAATACATTATTGGTATCAAGTATCAACATCCAAGTCAAATAAGCCAGCATAAATTACAAATTAAGATAACTATATAGATTGAAACTTGAAATTGAAAGTTATCTGCTATATTGATAAGGTGGTGCTAGGGTTGGCAATGGATCAAGCAACCCCTGTGTGGCCTGAAGGCTGGGCTACCGCCAGTGCCGGTCTATCCTAGCCTCCTTTTTTTTTTTCTTCATTTACATTTTGTATGGCCTAGCCCTACTATAATAGGGCTAAGGCCGGTTCTATGGAGACAAGGACCGGACTAGGGCCAAGGATAGCATGGCCCAAGCCCGGCCTGTTGCCACCCCAAGGTGGTGTAGTGTGCCAGCCACTTGTTATCATAATATCCTACACTTCACCACAGAATGGCACTTAGATTGGCAAGTTTAATATCTAAATCAACTATCCATGGCTTGTACAAGTGGGATTCGTGGCAGTAACATCCTATTTACCCCTATCCCAAAATTTGCAGTAATCACTAATTTCTTTAACCCCTCTTCCAACTTGACTCCTTGCAACAAAACTTGGAATTCAATTTTTCGGATGCCTCCATCTTCTTAAATTTTGATTGCTGGTGGCCCAGGATTGACACTAGAGTTGTGTATGAGGGAGCAAACTAAATGATGATATGGCTAATGAGCACTCTATCATAATTTTGCCTCGTCAAGGTAAGAATGCAGTGATTGTATATGAATTTTGTAATTTTTCTGTCTGATTCAACACAACAGTCCTTCACCTCCCTCAATTCATTGATGGCTTCTAATATTATTAAATCAATACAATGGGCAACACAAAGGCTCCAAGCCAAATTCTTCCTCTTATTAATTAGTAACTTCCTTGGTGTAACACTTTTTTTTTTTTCTTGCCTTAAAAAGGAATATTTTAAGGAGACATTTTTTAAAAACATGTCCTCTGCCAAATTTGGGACAAAATAAATAGCAACGAAGCCCCTAAAATGGGGGATGGTGGACCTTTTGACATTATGCTTTGGGCAAACCACACGTTTCCCAAATATAAATGAATACCATCGTTCATCCCTCCCTCAAACTAATAAGTAGAAATAAATTTGATTTAACTTAGATGTGAGAGATTATCTTTTGTTTCAATTGAGTTTTTATTTTATCCAAACTTTTTGAAAATATCTAATTATTTTATGGCTGAGGTTCTATAAGGCGCCCTCCTTATAACTGTAGAAGTAGGTGCGTATCCAAAAGTTGTGTGGAGATGTAGTTTTGGTGGTGGAAACCTTATGATGACCTTAAAATCTATTTTATCTCTAGCTGTAAAATTTTAAATTTCGAAAATGGTAAAATCGAGCAGATCTATAAATATTTGAAAATCTTAAAAATATTCGATTCATATGACTTGTTGCAAGAGTTACTATTTTTAAGATTTATTATTCTTTTTTTTTCTTCATTTCCACTCAGAGGTTGCTCTAATATTGAAACACTATCTTTTAGAAGATTTTTGAGTTGCACCTTACTTTAATAGAGTAAGGTTGCAACCCTATGCATACTTTTTCCTTATTTAATAGGATGTGATTTCTATAAGGCCTAGGCTTCACCATAAAAAGTAAACCTCATCTCAAAACCTCGTATGGAAAATACTTCCAGCATAGGAAACTCCTACGAGGGCTCTTAAATCTACTTCCACTACTGAAAATTAAATTTATAGCTCAAAAAATCGGGCAGGTATGTGGACACTTAAAAATGAGCGGTCAACATAATTCGTTACGATATACATTATTTTTAGGACTTAGAACCCCATTTTTTTTTTTTTTTAACATCCATGACTATCAAGATCAATATATCGACTTGAAGATTTTCTAATGCTACAATTTTTGGTGAGATTTAAGATGCCACTTCACTTCTTTTTATAATGCCTAGGCCCTATTTTAACCTTTTCCTATTTTGTATGATATGAGGTTCACTTCAGAATGGGAGAGGCCTAGATTTGATCGGACCATATGAATAAACGGGTTTGAGAAGTTGACACGATATGGAATTTTGGAGGCCAAATGAGTCATCCAAAAACGTATCTCAAATAATTGGAAAAAAGCTATCAAAATGATTACGAATGGATAATTCACGATCTCTCATCAATTCTTTCTCGACCATACAAATTCGAAGCCTTAAATTACACCTCCTCCAACAAAAACTCCCACCAATCCTCCTGTTCAGCTCTTTCAAAGCTAACGTTTCACCTTCTTGTCGAAATTTATTATTCAAGTAAAGGTTTCACCTTTTTGTCGAAATTTATTATTCAAGTATAGGTTTCACCTTCTTGTCGAAATTTCTTATTCAAGTAAAGACCAAAACGTCCTTATAAATGCTACTCCAGGAAAGACCAAAACGCCCTTATAAATGCTACCAAAACACCCTAAAATATCCCATGGGCCCTTAAAACGTCATGTATTGTGATAGGGCGATTCACTTCAATTGTACTTGATTTATAATAGATGCTGATTTATGGTACATCAACGTGAAAATTATTCCCTTTATTGTACTTGATTTATAATAGATGCTGATTTATAGTACATCAACATGAAAATTATATCACGTTTTCATATGAGTCCAAACGTTTTGCTACCTCCTCACCAATGTTAAAGAGATGCCATATTTCGAATAGAGTAATGTATACCTTAAAAGATTTATACGGTCTCTTTAACAAATGGTAGGGTTTCTTCGAGCAATGTTTTATAAACTGGATTGGTGAGCTGAAATGGTCGTCTTGGTTCCGAGACAGCTCGAAGCTACTCAAACCAACTTGTTGGTTTTTTACCGTTTTTTTGTATTAAGAGATAAAAAATTTAAAAAGATAATGAGAATCGATGGAAATGGAGCAAAACCAAGGAGCCTTAGATCCAGGCTAGTACCCTAAGGTTTCAATTTGACCGGGCAATTTCTATTAGAATTCAACGTTCACTACAATTAACCTCCAACAGTTTATTGTCAAGAATGGAGGGTGGGTGCCCATGTAGGATACTTATTATATATATAATTTTTTTTTGAAATGGTTATTACGAATTTCATTCATTGCAATGATAGAATGATTAAGTAAAGGACCTGATCACTGATGATGATTGATGTACACCACCCTTTGTAAGAGAATTAGCTTCTCCAAATCAGTGATGTAGCTCAAAATAGTCACTCAGTAAGATTAGTCATTAAATTGGATTACATAATGGGAAGCCATGTAGAATGAAGTGCTTTAATGGCTTCCCATTTTTTAACTCTTGAGGAGTGCTATGAATGTTTTGGATGGGATAGGGGTCCTCATGAATCCATTTTCGCTTGATATATAGTGGTCATTTTGGAAAAAGGATATGGGCAATATAGTAGTTGTTCCTTCTGAAATCTCATTTCTTTCCCTAAATTAGTTAGTCAATTTTTGATATTCTCTTTTAGGTTTAGAACTTTTTGATGCCTTCAAGACTTTTTCTTTGTTGATCGGTCGTTATTTGCATGAACTTTCTCGAACATTGATTAAATTTTGGGTTCCTTTTAATTTTTATTTTTTGGTCATTAATAGTGACCTCATTAATTGGGCCTAAAGGCTCTGCAATTTGTGGATCACAGGGTTCTTTCATGCTGAAAATATGGCTTAAATTTAGGGCTCCCGGTGGTTTTTTGTCTTCTGAACCACAATTTGGAGAGTTGAGCTGGTTTTCTCGGATTAATTTGAGTATGTGGTTTTGATTCGAGCTTTCTCTGTCATTACAGCTCGAAATTCAGAAGTTGAACGTTCAAGTTGGTTAATTTCATGGTGTTTATTGAGGCTAGCGCCTTTTTCACCATTAGAATTCTGTTTTGCTCCAATTCACATCGGAAATTCACATTGGAAATTTCAGGGTTTGTGTGAATTGAGGCTACGTTTTAGGGTTTCTAAACAAATTCTCTCTAGAGGGAGAGAGAGATGAGTGTGGTGGGATTTGACATTGGCGACGAAAACTGTGTAGTCGCAGTTGCAAAGCAACGAGGCATTGAGGTGGTACTGAATGATGAATCGAAGAGAGAGACACCCGCCATTGTCTCATTTGGTGAGAAGCAACGCTTTCTTGGCTCTTCTGGTTTGGCCTCAGCCACCATGAACCCGAAATCCACAGTTTCTCAGATCAAGCGCTTAATTGGTCGGAAATTTAATTGCCCATATGCACAGAGGGACCTCCATTTCCTCCCTTTTGCCACCTCTGAAGCCCCTGACGGTGGAATTTTGATCCATATTCCCTATATGGGAGAAACTCGGGTTTTCACACCAGTTCAGGTTCTTGCAATGCTCCTATCTCACCTAAAACAGATTGCAGCGAAGAATTTGGAGCTTGGAGTAACAGATTGCGTTATCGGAATCCCCTCTTATTTCACAGATTTGCAGAGAAGGGCCTATTTGGAAGCGGCAGCAATTGCTGGTCTCAAACCCTTAAGGTTGATGCATGATGGCACTGCAACTGCCTTAGCTTATGGAATTTACAAGACCGATTTTGCAAGTTCAGGAGGAACGAATGTGGTATTTGTCGATATAGGCCACTGTGATACTCAGGTTTGTGTAGCCTCATTTGAGCAAGGCCAATTTAAAGTGTTGGCCCATGCTTTTGATAGAGACCTAGGTGGCAGGGACTTTGATGAGGTCCTCGTTGATTATTTTGCAAGAAAATTCAAAGAAGAATACAAAATCGATGTGCAAACAAATGTTAGGGCGAGTATTCGATTAAGGGCGGCTTGTGAAAAGCTGAAAAGGGTTCTTAGTGCAAATGCTGAAGCCCCACTTAACATAGAGTGCTTAATGGATGAAATAGATGTAAAGGGGTTCATTAAAAGGGAGGAATTTGAGAAGCTGTCAGCTGGTTTGATCGAGAGAGTTCAGGTCCCTTGTGAAAAGGCCTTAAACGATGCAGGATTGGGTTTGGAGAGGGTTCATTCTGTGGAGCTTGTGGGGTCTGGCTCTCGTATACCTGCGATTGCAAGGATGCTTGCAAGTTTCTTTAAGAGGGAGCCAAGCCGCACTTTAAATGCTAGTGAATGTGTTGCACGAGGTTGTGCGCTCCAATGTGCTATGCTTAGCCCTATTTATAGGGTCCGGGACTATGAGGTAACTGGTTTGTTAAAGCTTATGAATGTTCTTTTGCCATCATCTGATTAGTTTGGGTTATCAAATCCTTAAATGATAATAATTTGTTTTTATAAGTCTAGTCATATGATTATGATTCCAAGCATTTGATAGATCATATTCAATTTTCGGTTAATTTTGGTATTTGATAAGTGAACCATGAGAAAGGAATTATATTTTGACTATGCATGTGTCTCTCTTGGATTTGGTTCTTTGTTGTTTAATATTTTAGAGTTCTTTTATACATATCACAAGTTATTAATTCTATGGTTTTTTCTTTGAATTTTTGGGGCATGGTTCTAGGAATTCTTCTCTTTCTTCATCTTTCATTGTTGTTATTGCATCTGTATGTTGTTCTGAATACAATTTCGTTCATGTATGCTTGATTTGATTCGCTTTTGATGACTTTAATCTTTTTTGGGGTAAAGTATATTTTAATCTTTATGAATAACTATATTTGCTACGCCTGGATCACTCATTTACAATGAATGAGATTCTGATGAGTTGGAGAATGTATTTGATAAGTTTAATTGTATTTTATTAGAGCTACCATCATTATAGCACTCTTGCTCATGGTTTTAGCAGTATGTGGGACCTTGGATGTTGAACTTCTAAAGCTTGGGTTACTGTGGTTACCTTCACACTTTTGTTGGTCACTCCTCCCCCTTCTCTTCCAGCAGGACTTATTCTTTGGTTATCTTTTATAGATTATGACCTGAACTAATTGTCATTGTCCAGTAGTGATTTTATGGGCTGTACTTTTTGTAAGGAGAATGAGCGTTATTGGCTGTCAACTCGCATTTCCCTTATATCTTGTTATTTCATTGTGTTTTTTATGAGTTAAATTTAAATAAAACATTCCTGGAAAGAACACAAAAGTTCATGATACAAAGGAACACAGACCTATTTAAGGTAGTGAAAGATCTCCACACCATAAATATTTCCTAGACACGCCCAAATTAACTTGTCGATCCACTATGGCACGATTTCCCCTCTGAAGACATGAACATAAATGATACACACATACATCCACTATGCGCCTGTCGCAAGACCTTGTTGTTCTGAAAAATATCACCCAATCTCTAAGGAGCTACAACATCTCCTCTAATATGTTTGATAATATTTATAGAGTTGCCCTTGATGTGATAGGCCCCTCCGAGATGTTACTCAATAATCTAGTCTCTGCCCAGGCAGCTTTGCTTTTGCTTTGGATCATCTGCAGTTCATCATTTTAAATGGTTCCACATGGTTCTTCATAATTTCTTGGTCCTAGTTGGCCATCAATATTGAGTTTCATATTTCCTATAGGAGTGCCCTGTGTTTCATGGATACGGGTATGCAGGTTAGTGTCCAGCACGGGTGCAGGGTGACAGATTCCTCATGCCATAAAAAAGAGGATTTGGCAACATGACTATATTATGAGGAGACAACTAAATCCAACAGTGTTTTGCTAATATTCTATTTCTTGATAAATAGCAAGAAATGATTAATTCTACTTTAACTGGCTGAATCCATATATTATTTTAAAATTCTATAGACATTTTCAAAGTTCACATGTGTCTGCTCAAAACAAAAAATAAGACCAAGTCTCTAAAATTATTTAACTAATTGTTAATAAAGAAGTAAAATAATCCAAAGAATTCGAAGCCTTATGTATGTCGATACGTGTCTGACACGTGTACGACACCCAAACAGAAGGATCTCCATACAGCTTTTAGCCTCAGCTTTCATGCTCTTGAATTGTTAGTGACAACAATCTGTGCATATTCTTTATTTTCCATCCTTGAAATTGTCAGCCCATGTAAATTGTGTTCTTTGTTATCTCTGGGAAAGTCACTCCTGCCAGGAATGTTCCTTGAAAGTTAAAATGTTATATTGATATTTTTATCCCAGTCCCCTGATTATTGCATAACCACCTGCCTTAGTAGCTCTGAAAAGTGTAGTTCTCATATTTCTATTTTTGTGGATTGGCCTTGTGGGATTTATGTTGTGACATGAATGGAAGGTATGGAGTTAATGAGTTTAGTTGTGAAATTTTTCGTAAATTCTGTCCATTTTCTACTCTTGATATGGAGTCAGTGGACTCATATTTCTGAGAATATCTCCATTGTAAATGGTTTTGAATGAAATGGGTGATATTTTGGTTCTGTGAAACATTTTTAATGGTCTTAAGCGGAGTTGAGCTGCAGCCAAGCATACCAGGGAACATGTGTTTCTAACCATCACAAATTGCATTAAGCTACATTCAGTTCTCTTGTATATTATGCTTTGAAAATTAGGAAATTCACTGTTCACCGATGTATAATGTATTAAACAGCATTTGTGATAGTTTGGTTTGAAAAGTTGTCCATTCTGAAGGAGAGAGCATAGCGAACAGTGGGCAAGCGAAGCCTTTACGCTGAGTGTGCAGTGAGCGTAGCGAACGGAGTGAGTGAATGCAGAGAACGACTGAAGGACTAGTAGTTTTCCGGGGTGGGTTTCAAGGCTTGTCTTGAAGTCTGGCTTAGTTCACCTTTAAGACTTTTTTCCTCTCTCTCTCTCTAAGTAATCATTTACCTTTAAGACATTTACCCAACACATCTTAAGTATTTGGATAAATGGGATAATTTTGGTAATTATGAATTTGATCAAAAGCATGGCTTGAAATTTATCTTGCCTTAGGTTAATTACATCTTTTGAATTTGAGCACTTTTTTTTTTTTTTTAAATGATGAATTGTTAATATAGGGCATTCGAAGAATTGAACTTGGAAAAAGAAGGGTAGAGAAGCTTAGTTTGTTTGAATTTCATGAACAGATGTGTATCCATTTTTAATTTTTTTTAAAATTTAATTCGTACTTGTGGTTTGAAAATTTTGACGCTAGAAGTTGTTTTAAGATATTTTAGGTTACATTAGGCATTTTTGAAGCATCTAAATGGGAGAATCTGAGATACCCAGTTATTTATAGATGCTTGGTGTACCACTAGTTGTGTGTTCCTGGTACTGGTACTGGTTATTCTAAGGAGAAAATGTGGATTTATATAATTTTGATTTAGAAATATATAAAACTAATTATTATGTTATGTTATGTTCAAAGTACTACAACACGTGATGTAATTTATCTGAATATAATATGAACATTATATTTTTTAATCTAAGTATATGATATGTATCTATCATTAGATTGAGTTTGGGGAGGGTCCTTTTTGGTAATGAAGAACCAATATGGACAAGAATGTTGTGCTGGCCAATGGACCACCATTTTCTAGCATATTGTATGATTGAGCAGGTATTGAAAGCACCGTGCTGAACCCCTGTTTCACAATAGGAAAGAAAGATCCTTATGAAGTCTTTTTATTCCTGTTGTAATTTTTCAACAGAGGGTGACTTGAAGCTCTTGACACTTAGGGCCTCATATTATATACGACAATTTGTGCATCATCTATTATGTATTTTAATTCAGGATGCATATTTGGTCCACTCTATTCGCATGGACCTGCACACAAAACCACTGTTTTAGGTTGGGTGAGGGCCTCGTAAAGTCTCCAACCTCCTAACAGAATGTCCACCAAATAGACGGTCCTGATTTAATCCTTGGGGTAATCTGATTGGAGCCTTTCGTGGGCTCCTTTATCTTCCGAAAGTGATCATGGAGTTGAGGGGACTCACTTGGATACTTTTTGGGCCATCATGTCCACAAAATTTGTTGATTTGGATGCAGGTCAACATGAATAATGTGGCCCTGTGAGTTGACTAAATATTCTGGCCATCTTAAACCAGAATATAATTTTGAAACTATTCTACACGAGAAAATTATGATGACTGGCAAATCATGTGAAGGATGATAAACATTATGGAAAATAGATTTTGGAACGTGTTACAAAAAGGAAGTGACTCCGCGATTGCCTAGGCAGCACCTTGAGGCACCCCACGTCCTCTGCACTCTGCCTTTCTGAGGCCCCTTGCCCTGGATGGGGCCCATTAAGGGCTCATCTAACTGTGGCCTAATGGGTGCCTAGGCACCCTCTGCAATATTATATATATATATATATATATACATGGGAAAAGATGGGATTAGCCCACTAGCTCATATAAACAAATGAGCCCAACGTCCCAGATTGATTATGGGCCGATCTGACGATCACGGATGTCCGGTAGTGTTTGAATTACCCCACTAGCTCATATGAACATATGAACCCAACGTCCCAGATTGATTCTGGGCCGATATAATGATCACGGATGTCCAGTAGTGTTTGAATTTTAGTTTTTTTTTCTACAAATCCAAATCATTCAAAATTTTAGGCGTGTGTTCATAAAAAATAGATGAATCTTCGAAAAATATCAAAAAAATATTTTACATGAAATAAATTGACCAAAATACCTCCGAAAAGTTTGGGGGGTATTTTGATCATTTTGTTTTTCACGAATAATTTTTTTTTTATATTTTTATTAGGTGCGCCTTGATGAGAAGAACACACACCTAAAATTTCAAGTGATTTGGATTTGTAGAAAATAAAATAAAATTCAAGCACTACCAGATATTCGTGATCGTCAGATCGGCCCAGATTCAATCTGGGCATTAGGCTCATATGTTCATATGAGCTAATTCCATCTTTTCCATATATATATATATATAGAAGATACTATAAAACGCCTATAGGCGAAAATAAACAGTGATTATGCCTACCTTCATCACCGTCCAAAGTTCATCGCACGGTAACGATTGTCCAGTAGTGCTTCATTTTTCATTTTTTTTCTACAAATCGGAATGATCTGAAATTTGGAGTGTGTGTTCATAAAAAATAGGCGAATCTATGAAAAATATCAAAAAATATTTTACATGAAATAAATTGATAAAAATATCCCGAAAAGTTTAAAGGGTATTTTGGTCAATTTTTTTTGGCAAATTATTACTTTTATATTTTTATTAGGTGCGCATCACTAAGATATACACACGCTTCAAATTTCATATCATTCCGATTTGGAAAAAAAGAAAATAAAAATGAAACACTACCAGACAATCGTGACCGTGCGATGAACTTTGGACAATGATGAAGGTAGGCGAAATCACTGTTCATTTTCGCCTATAGGTATAGGGAAGACTTTTCCTATATATATATATGGGTGCAGTTTCTATAAGGTTGCAACCTTAAACAATCCAATTAAGGCGCACCTCCAAATTTTATCATAACATGTAATTTTGTTGTAAAAATTTATTAGGATTATCTTAAAATATATTTTCATATCTAATTAGAACATTTTAAACTCCAAAAATAGTTAAAATCAAAGAGATCTATAAACATATGAAAATCTTGAAAATGGACGGCCTAGATAATGTGTTGCAAGATGCACTATCTCTAAGACTCAAAAACATTTTTTTTTATATTCATATATCTCGATATTGAGATGATCAAATAGAGGGTTTTTCAACATTAAAACAACCTTTTCGATATATTTGTGAGGTGCATCTGTAATTCTACATTTTAAGGTTGCAACCTTATATAAACTTTCCCTATATATATATATATATATATATATATATATATATATATA